TGCCGAGAGTATCCTTTCGTTTGAGGAAAACCCCGCGGATCCCCCGCCGGGGATATGTGGGCAAAGCGATCGTGTGATAGGTGGCCATGTTTCAAAAAATGACAACAGAATATAGCTTTGGCGAATTTATATGGTTCGATTACTGAAATGAGAGGATTTGACTGGAACATGGAGAAAAGATCAGTGAAATTGTGTATGTTTCAAAAGAATTCATTTATTTATAGTATATACGGATTAATGAAATGAAATGATTTGAATGGAAAAGAGAGAAAAGCCAATGAAATCTCAAATGACATTGAAAAATGAAAGTTTCAACTTTTTGGTGGTTTATTTGAAAATTGGGAGAGTAATAATAGGCAGAATAATGCCTTTCCCTTGTAAGTAAAATTTATGAAAAGAAGGTGAGCTTATTGAGCTTTGGGGACAGCAGATTCGGAATCAGCGTAAAATTCTGCATCGAATGGTCTAGGTCTCATTTCGATTGACAACCTTCTTTTCATGACCTTCTCTTGTTAATAATAGGTAAAAATTGGAAAAGAGTAAGGGAATCTGCGATCTCAGTATCTGCCTAAACATTCTTTGCTCAATAAGTTATAAAGAAACTTTGAAAAATGGCACAAGAATGTAGCATTGAAAATTTGCGATACTAATTTGAGCACCGCTTTTTATGCACTCGATTCTTTACTGCTTACTGAAATGAAAGAATTTGATTGGAAAGGGTGAAAATGAAAAAACTTGTGTATGTTTTAGAGTTTCCGGGAAGTATGGGATGGATAATGAGCCAATGGATTGGACAAATTAAAAGATTTTTGAAGAAAAAAATCAAATTCAAATCAAATTCTGATGTTCTAGATGCTTTAGGGATAAACTTTTAGGGATAAATTCTAAAATAAGTGTCTTTACTGTAACACATTACTAAGTTATTGGTTTAATTCTTTATTTAAATTTAAATTTTTAGATTTTCTACGTGTATTAACGTTTAAAATTGCTAAAAATCAACTTAGCAAGAAATTTGGAACAAAATTTTAAAACAAAGTTTCAATTTTGACGGGTTCAGTGTTAGAATTGCGTAGAGCGAAAAATTTCTGGTTAATCTATAGTGAAAATGAATTTACCGTATTTCCTCTAATAAACGCCCCCCCCCCTCGACCAACTTTGGACGCTTCGTTCTCAGCTCCATTTTGAGATATTATTATGTTTAATATACCAAAAGATAGAAGACATTAAGGGCTATCTTTTGGTTTATTAAACATAAAAATATCTCAAAATGGAGCTGAGAACGAAGCGTCCAAAGTTGGTCGAGGGGGGCGTTTATTAGAGGAAATACGGTATGTATGTTTATGAATCCTTCCGTATGTCGACTTTTTCAACATTTTCAAAGCTAAAGCTTTTCATTTGTGGCTTAAAAGTTGTGAGAAAGGTTTAAAAAAAATGCTTAACACTCAAGTTAAAGTATAAAAGTTGAAGCTTTTATACTTTAACTTGAGTGTTAAGGATTTTTGGTGGTGTAAATGAATAATGAATAATGTGGTTCCTAAGTCTTCCCTCAACATTTGTTTTGTGAAATTTATCAATGCTAATTATTGAGGCTAGCTGTATGGAACGCTAAAGAACACCAGCTAAAATTTAGAGTTTCAACTTTGACCGGGGGACGGCTAACGAGGGGATGCTAATGCTGGAAATCTTCATTTTTCTTCATTTCTTTATTTTCTTCCAACATTTTACATTATAAAACCTGCTTTTACAGGAGAAAATTTAGTATTAAACTGTCAGTTTTAATAAGAAAACAACTAATAAAAAAGATTTCAATATTAACAAAGAGAAGAAGAAACATTTCAAGTTTCAATTTGGCTCAAGTAAAAGACAGTTTTCCTACAGTAGGTCTTTGGTTACGAAAATGAATTAAAAACTCAAAAAATGGTCAATGAACGTATTAGAGATCTTCATCTCCGTAGCTCGAATAAATGCAAATAGATTAGACAAACAAATAATAGAAAGAAGGGAGAAAAGAAGCGAAAAAAACACGTCGACGTCGTCCACTCAAATCTTTTCTTTTCGCCTCTCTTTTGCCATTGCATTGGACCGGATTTTTTCGGGACTAGTCACAATGGTCAGACTGATTTGATTAAAATAGGAGTTTTAAAAATGAATCAAAAGATTTGATAGGCTGATTTATAAAGGCCATTATAAGATTTTCATTCCTTAATGATCGTCAAGACAAAGCATTAGCTGTGGTCATTTGATCGTTAAGACTATAGATTTGATTATAGACTAGTTACCTCATTTCTCTACCTTTGCTAGGCTTGAAAATCGGAATTTTAACTATTACCGAATCAAAGGAAAAACTAGTTTTCCAGGAGAAATCATCAAGAACATCAAGAATCGTTTCTCTCTTCGAATCCGTTTCCTAAACGGCTGTTTCCTTTCCCTTTCAACCGTTTATCTTGTCTCTATTTTTTTATCCAATCGATCCACTTTTTATATCTTTAGATATCCTTTGTGAATCCAGAATCAGGAAAAAAAATGGATAGATTGGGTAAAAATAGAGATGAGATTACTGTCGAAAGAAAAAGGGACACTTTTTAGAAAACGGAAATGATGAGTTTCAAAGTTAAAGCAAGCAAAGCAGTAATCAAAGAGTTAATTCTTTTTTGTGTGATTTAGTTATAAATAGCATTATCAGAGATTTGCTATGTATTTTAATGTGTATTCAGATGTTACGGGAAATCTTCTATGAATAGATTACCGTATTTTCTCTAATAGTAGTTCACCTCGGCGAGTCGAGTTGATGCCTATTTTACGGCTTCCAAGCTTTTGCAAAAGCTCAACACTCAAATCCCCCACAAGATCTCATCGTCAGCTACATTTTCCGACCCCACATCGATAGGTTCTGATAAGAGGTTCTCGAAATTTCGAGCAATTTAGCTGACGTTCAGGGTGCACTACTATTGGGGAAAATACGGTAACTGCTTTTAAGATTTAAAGTGTTTTAAAAAACATAATTCGCTCAAGTGTTGATTAGTTAATTACGAATTACGTTCCTTTATAGTTCCTTTATGGTTCCTAGTTAGTTCCTTTAAAGTTCCTCTATAGTTCCTATTTGGTTCCTTTTAAGTTCCTTTATAGTTCCTTTTAAGTTCCTTTATAGTTCCTTTATAGTTCCTTTATAGTTCCTAGTTAGTTCCTTTAAAGTTTCTTTATAGTTCTTTTATGATTCCTTTATAGTTCCTTTTTCGTAATATAACGTAATTCAACTTTTAAATGGTATACAAAATATTACTGATTTCGGAATGTCAAAGAGTTCGGCAATTTGAAACTTTTAGATTTTCGTTGTTTCTGGAAGATATTGCTTTCAAAGTTCATTAATAATGTGATACCAAAGTTGAAACGCACAAAAATCAGTTAAAAGATAAATGATAAAACGGAAATAATCATAAGGCAAGAAAAATTTCCGGAAGTTTTCACACAAACAAAAAAAAATTCTCTTTTGAAATCGCTTTCGAGTGTGTTTTCTTTGAGGAAATGATGAGGCGATAATAAATTCGCAAATATTTTCTCAAAAATTTCGCGCTTTTTTTGTGTGATTTAGACTCCAAAGACCCTAGGCGCTTTTCCGGAAATAAATAATTGAGAAAAATTTTGTGAAAATAGTGAAAATTATGATTTGCTTTGTCTTTTAATATGGAAACTACTGAATTCGAGATTTGATTTGAATTTTTGCGAGAAATCCGATTTCAAAGTTGAGCTTGTTCCAAAGTTGAGCTTGTTTCAAAGTTGAGCCGTTTCAAAGTTGAGCTGTTTCAAAGTTGAGCTGTTTCAAAGTTGAGCTGTTTCAAAGCTGAGCTTGTCCCAAAGTTGACCTGTTTCAAAGTTTCAGTTTTTTCAATGCGATGAGCTGGCAACGTAAAAGGCTAATAAATGATGAAAAAAGTTTTTTCGGTTTGTCAGCTCTTGATAATAAAATCTTTAACTAATTAAAGATTCCAGAGTGCTTTAAATAAAAGAGAGAGACTAAAAAAAGGTTGATGAAATGGAAAACCACAGGAAAGTCAGTCAGGTTCGAGTCTTTGAATTCAGCGCATTTCTTGGTCGTTCTTTAAAAGAAACCCGAGATTTGCTAAAATGCACAAAAATAATTGTTGTTAAACTTTGAAATAACTTTGTTAGATAAAGATACTGTAAGAATTTGTCAGAAAGAATGTTTAAAAATGAGTGGGATAAGACCTACGAAGATCTGCAATTCCTAATGTTGTCGTAATTGATTAACATAAATAAAATTAACTAACAGGGCTAGTAACAGTATAAGTTGATTTACGATCTAAATGTGAGAAAGCTTTTAATCAAAGATACCATTGAGAAGATCGTAGAAATATAGGTTTCAATTTTAACAAACCTACGGCTAATGGCTTGCTATTAATTCAATTATCTTAGGCGCGATTTGAGCAATTGCTAAATTTAGCAAAAATTAACGTTATTCTTTTGCTAAATTCTAGTAAAATGTTACGAAAAAGTCAAGAAAACAGCTAAAGCCTGAGCCTGAGCTAAAAATTAAACTTTGCCAAATAATAAATTGGTATTTTTTTGGTTAAATCAAACCCTAAAAAAATGAAAAAAGAAATTTTGATATAAAAATTAATTTGAAAAGTATTTCACGATACCGTATTTTCTCTAGTAGTAATGCACCGAGCTTCACATAAAGCCTGAAATCTCGAAAACCGCTTATCAGAACCTATCGTGAGCTGACGGCGACGCACTGGTGATGGGTCGGGGGTTAATGTTGTGCTTCTGCAAGCTTGGAAACCGTAAAATCGCCAACCCGGCTTTCCGTGGGGCACTACTATTTGAGAAAATACGGTTCTAGTAGAACAACCAAGCCACAAAACCAATTTTCCTCGGGAAAATCGAAGAATTGCTGTACGCTAGAAAGGGAGTATTTACGAGATTTGTGTGGCAAGTGCAAGCCAATCCAAAGCTGATTCTAAAATGGGCCCTTTACAAACCTCTCCACTTCGCTCTGTGTCTCGAATTTGTCCAAATTCGAGGTGCTCTTTTGGAAGAATTTATTCGCCGCTCCCGGTTTCCACGTCCCAAAAGCGACACTTCGGTATTGTTTTCTGGAATTTCGAAATTTTTTTTGAAGATTTTGTTGAAGATTTAAGATTAAGATTCATTATTGTCAATGATCTATTGGGAATTGCTGAAAAATTATCCTAACACTTTCAACAATCTGCCTAATACCTTAACGAGTTGAAACTTGCTTATTTAGCTTCAAACTTAGCTTCAAGTCTAGTTTGGGTAATTATTTAGCTACTCAATGATCAAGTTTCAATGTTAACAAGTCTAATCCATTTTGAAATTTTTTCACTTTTAAATCCGAACTCATCGAGCTGATTTTAATATGAGAATTGTAGCTGGATTTTGGCTCACGTCATTTAGTCACTGAAGCAACCAGCGCCTTGTTTAACTTTGAAACTTTTGTTTTTAAATCTGATTTGAAGTGTTGACTTTTCTAAAAATATGGGAAATTATCTAAAACTGTTCAATCTAGTTTTTCAAAAATTTGGAGAATTTGGAGAATTGTGAGATTGTATTTTGAGTTTGTTGAGGAGCGCAAGATTAGTATGAAGTTACTGGCCTGATTAACATTGAAGCTTGACTATTTTTTGGTCAAATAGCTAACCAAATTAGACTGCCATAAATAAAGAAGTTTTAACTTGATACAGTTTGAAAGGAAATGGGGAGACTGTGATTTGTTTGTGAATCAGAATTGGGATTTGTTTCCATTGAAATGATTTCTGATTTGCGCTAGATTGACGAAAGTTTAACTGGAAAAATGGAAAAAGATTTGAAATTGATTTTGTAGAAATTGCTGACCAGAAATCGATCTAGTCAGTTAATTTATTAGACTTGTTAACATTGAAACTTGATCATTGAGTAGCTAAATAATTACCCAAACTAGACTTGAAGCTAAGTTTGAAGCTAAATAAACAAGTTTCAACTTGTTAAGGTATTAGGCAGAATCATAAAAGCTAATCGTAAAGGTTTTGATGTAATTATCTGAAAGATCAAAATCCCTAAGCTAAGCCAAGCGAAGTTATTGTCAAATTTTCCCAAAATCAAGTCTAATCAACTTGAATGATGATCACTTGACGATTTGGTTCGCTGGTTCTGCAAAGTTCAAAGTTTCAACTGGTTCTGCAAAGTTTAAAGATCACTAGTTCTGCAAAGTTCAAAGTTTCAACTTGATCAGGACCGAAATTAGCAATTTGACAATATTGTTTTCCATTCAATCGTTTAAATTCCCCTTTTGAAGGCTAATTGAAAAGTTTGAACTTGATCGCGACAAATTGAGCATCAAGATCCTAATAATATAGCATCTTACAAACTATTCTTTTCACCACTTTTATAGCCGAAAACTGGAAACAAAGTTACGGTTGTTTTGAGAAAGCTGCCGTGTTTTAAAATGCTACAATCGCAAGTAAAGATGTCCTGATGAAACTTCTGATGCAAAAAGCACAGCTTAAATGTTTTTAAAGCTATCTACAACTAACAATAAATCCAAAATCTCAATCGAAGTAGGATAATTGAAGACTTTGATGAATGTATTCAAGATTGGGTTTCAACTTGATTAGGGTCAAGGTTAGCATCAAGATATTAATCAGCATTGCCAGCTGCCAGCTGCCAGCTTTTTTTAAATCACTCACCGACTATTGTACCAGCCACCGCCACTTCCACTATCCATTTTTTTGTGCTTTTTGAAGAAAAATGAATCAAATGAATGAAATGCTAGCTATTAGAAAGGCCTGTTGGTGTTTGAAGATTTTTATCTGAAAGTTTTATCAAAATTTAAAAGCTACTCAAAGCAAATGCATTTTGAAAAAAGAAATTTGTCAAATAGAATTTCAAATGGATAAAAATGGAAAACAATGTAAATTTAAAAAGCAAATATAGAGCTTTTGTAAAAAAACACGATTGAGAACACTTGGAACTCGATTTTTTTGGTTTTTTGGTAATGAAGCAAAAAAAAAGTTCGAATTGAAAAGAGTGCCGACAAATAAGAAGATTTTGAGATGGGAAAATCGGTATAAATCAATGGGTTTTTGGAGAAAAAAAGCTAGGGGAAAACTTTGAGGTTGGCAAAAACGGGAAAACGATTCATGACTCTGGAATTTCGGAGTTAATGATGGTAAGAAAATCGAAGGTTTAGCTCGTTAGAAATCGTTAGAATTCACCCTTTAACGACAAAGCCGTTCAAGTTGAAACAAAGCTTTTTTGTAAAGGAAAAATGAACCAAAGTGGCGCACTTTATATGCTAAAAAATCTCGAAAACGTTCCTTTTCTGGCGCGCTCAATTGACGCTATGACGCTCATTAATTCATCTACTAATTTGCTTCTACTAATAAACGATTTGATTAGCTTAGCTTTTAACATTCATTAGTCAGAGAAATTGAAACTAGACTTTCTTGATGTACTTTGTGCTCTCTTCAAATCCTGTAAACACCGCCTTTCTGGCGCATAATTCTTCCATTTTCCCCGCGTGACATCAAATGGTTACTGTGATATATACGACACGAGATTTGAGATCAAAAACAACACATCCACGCACTGAATTCTTTCGAATTCTGGATTCTGAATTCACACTAAATTCTAGCGCACTGCCTTTTACTTTTTGTGCCATGATTTATGTGCAAAATTTACAAGATTTTATTCCAAGATACCTGACATGAAGACGACGAGATACCTGACCTGACGTGAGACATGAAATTCACATTTTACAATATCTTTTAAGTTAAAGATTCGCAAAAAAAAGTTTCGTGTTTCAAAATAAGGCAATGTGAAGTTTGTTTGGGGACGAAAGTCGAGGTAAAACAAAACTGAATGATATAATAATTTAGAGCTTTAAAATAGCTTTAAAATAGCTTTAAAATAGCTTTAAAATAATTCTTCAAAAGTTTTCTAATCCGAAGACACTCGTAACAACGAATATGCATTGAAATTTTGAAACTGAACACATTTTTTTGCAGACGATGAACTGATGAAAAAGAAAAAGATCAGTGAGCACCAAAAGGGGGAAATTTGACTCCGAATACACGTGGAGTGAAAGAGCTTTTTGAGCTTTCGTTGATGATCTCTTGAGAAGAACGTTTTTTGGGGAAAGCAACTATAAAATGAAGAAAATTTTGAGAATGTTAAAGATATTGTAAATTCAGGAGTCAGGCAAGTAAAAGATTACTATTTACAAGTAAACAATGACCCATTAAAATCCCATTTATTGAATTTGACTTGAGAAATTTGAAACTACAATTTTCAAACCAAGCTTTCGACTTTCTAGTAAATGAAAGCTCTTTTTTAAGGCTTGCTAAACTTTTGGAGAACTTCAGAACCGATTTGGAGAAGACAACTGTACTTAAAACAGACAACAACTGTAAACTAGATTCACTGCACTCGGATTGAACATTTTGAAACATCATAATTTCAGATTTAAGATACCAATCCACAAAAAAACTAAAATCCGTCTCATTGAACTTTATTCAAAAATTTTGAAACATGAATTTTGAAACTTTTTTTTTTTTAAAAATGTTTGAAAATTTAAAGACAAAGATTGAAGATAAAAATGATAAATAAAGAATTTTTTAAAGAATTCTTTTTGTTTAGTTTTGTTTTGTTTGTTTTGTTTTTGTTTTTGCATTTTTTTTTGTTGTTTCCGTATTGTTTTGTTGAAGTGAAGAACTAAGTGAAAAACTTTGAAACTTGAAAATTTCAGAAAGATAAAGATGTTGTGGTTCATAAAATTTCATAGTTTCTTGAATTTTTTATAAGAAGAATTGTTGGGTCTTAAATTTGTACATATTTTTGCCTGAAGGCCACCCCAAGCGAATCGGTCTCAAGCCAGAAAAAAGCAGCAAATGGCTATGAAAATCGTCAACGACCAGATGGGAAGACTTTTTGTGGGAATCGAGTAGAAAATCTCGATACGACTAATATCAAGTTGAATTTTAGACTGTTGAAGAGTTTTAAGTTTTAATATAAAGCTTGTGTTGCCATAAGAAAGCTGGCTAATCTCATAGCGGCCTTCATATTTTGTGTGCGCTCATAAATCTCGTAAACCCACTCTTTCTGGTGCGTTGAATTCTTTCATTTTCGGCTCACAGAAATGATTTGGTGAAGAGGGGAAATAAAAGAATTCAGTGTGCCAGAAAGGGGGCATTTACAAGATCTTTGAGAGTACAAAGTACATCACAAAGAAAATGCATTAAATCAAAAATGAAAATTTAGAAAATTGTCAACATTTAGAGCTATAAACCTGAGAAATACTAGAGAATTCAAAGCTTTAAAAATTCATCTATTTTGAAACATTGATCTGGATCTGGAGAATCTGGATCTTCCGTTATAAGTTGAACAAAATTATTTGAGTACTCAGTGATCTAAAGACTAAAAAGAATCATCAATTAGTCTATGATGGCTTCAGATAGAAATCAATTAAAACAACAAAATGTAGAGGATTCTAAATAACCTGAAACTATGGCTAACAATATTTTTTGACAAAAAACAATCGATACAAATCAACTTTTGATAGGAAATCATTGACATAATCTAGCTTTTTTTAATTTCGAAATCTCATCGCATCTCAAAAATCATCAAAAAAACGGTTTGATGGGGTGACTCTTCGAGATTTGCCGAGATTCGCGAAAATCAGAAAAGTAAAAGATTTCCCTATTTTCTTCTCGAATTTCTCTAGCCATTTCCCCATTTTACTGACTATTTTCTATTTTTTCGTCTTTTTTTGCCTCAATCCTTGCCTATTTTCTCTTAAATCTTTCTCTTACTTTTTCTTGTTTTTTGGTTCTTTTAGACGGCTCTATTTACACGCAAATCGCTCCCCCTCCTTTCTCATCTCCTTGTTCTCTTTTTCCGAAAGAAAAACTCTTTATACTGACCGATTAGAGGAATAGTTAGACTTGTTCTTTGTGCTCTACTTTGTGCTGTACTTTTTGCCCTCATAACTCGCAAATACTCCCTTTCTGCCGCACTTAATTCTTTCATTTCCCCTCGTGGCACCAAATCGTTGCTGTGAGGGGAAATGGAAAGATTGAGTGCGCCAGAAAGAGAGTCTTTACGAGTTATCAGGGCACAAAGTACGCATTTACATCTACTGAACAGTTCTTTTTCTTCAAAGCACATATCTATTTTCACATAGGTTCGCGGATGCTTACATTGAAGTTTGACGAAATTTGACATTGAAGCTCCGCTCAATTCCTAATTTACAGCCTAGAGTCAATTCTCCAGATGCAGATCTTTTACACAATCTTGATTGAATTAGAGAGAGCACAAAAAACGTAAGGAAATTCAACTTTGTATTGAATACTTCTAGTCTACTGGGGAAATCCGGGTAAAATGTTTAATGTTTCAAATTGAGTGGTGTCAAAATGAGATGTTGCTTAGTAATTGGCATGGCATGTTGATTTAAATTCACCACAAGCATTTTTTTACACCGAGAAATACAGTGAAGTGGTGCTGAGTTTAGAAAGTGACAACTTTAGTGTTTCTTTGGAAGTTTGTTGGAAGAAAGCTTGAGTCTTTGGATTTGAACTCTATGCAATTCTTTGGTTACTTCAGTATGCTTTAATGCTTGTTCTTTTCAAGCGATGCGTTTTTTAAAAGGCACTTTTTTTCAGCCACCATTTCTCATTCAATCAGCTCAATTTTGAGGCTTATTCCCTTATCAAATATGACCAAAATTGAGCTGATCGAAAGGAAAAATAGTGGATGGATTATGGTGGTTTTCGTTGAAATTGGTGACTTTTAAAAGAACGCATTAGCTTCATGACTATTAGGATTGTTTAGCTCATAGTGATTCTGGAAAACTTTTTCTGAAACACTCATTTTGTAACGGATTCGAGAGGGGATTATCGAGTGGATGAGTGGTCTGAAAACTATCCAAAGGCTGAAAACTATCCAAAGGCTGCAAGCTATCGAAAGGCGTCTCAATCATTGCCTCTTTGAGTGCCTAAACTAGATCAAATCACACAGAGATTCGGAGAAAATTTGGTGAGGGATTTGGGGTAAATATTTATCTAAAGGGGAATAAGGCTGTGTTTTTTGTGAAAGTTAAGGGAAAAAAAATGAATTTACTATTCTGCTCGCATTTCGGATAAACGTTAGAACTTTAGAATTGCGTTTAACAAACAAAGAGACAAGTGGAGAAGTTTCTAAGATTTGAAACTAGATTCGGACTTGGTTTTCCCAGTTTAGCTGCTTTTTTAAACGAAACAATCGTTTGAACAGAATGTAGAATTTGTAGAAAAAATGAAGCCAAAATGAAGGCAATGATTGAGCAAATTTAGGGCACGCAAAGCACTAATTAGAGTTCGGATTTAATTGCTTCAAACTTTTGAGAAACTCCGAAACTTAGCCTATTTTATTAACAAGAGAAAGTGAGAATGATAGGTAGTAAGGTAAAAAAAGCAATCACATTTTGAAGCAGATCAGTAGTGACTAACCGATAGTGACAGGGTTTGGAAAAAAGATGTGTGTGAATGGATATGTGTAATCTCTTTTCCCCTCCTCACCTTCGACACTCTCGAGAATGAAAGAAAAGAAAAGGGAAAACCAAGAAATGCTTGAAAAATGAACACTTTTCTGTAGGGAAAGATCTGTTTGTGTTGGGTTAACGAAGAAATTGGAGAAAAAAGTGATAAGCAAAAGTTTTTGACGAGTTAAATATTAAATTATTAAAGATTT